GACCTGTTTGCCCTCCTTCTTTATACTATTTCAGAATTGCAGATACATGAATGCCACAGACGGTTTTCACACTCTGCACTGCTAGCCTTACAACTTCCTTCCCCATTTCCTACGTCATGGACCTGTTTTCCTCCCTCCCATTACATTTTAGGATTGCAGATACCTTAATTTAATCGTCATAAACAGTTCCCACACTCCAGACTGCTCGCCTTTACTACTTCCTTCACCACTTCCTATGTCGTGGACCTGTTTTCCTCCCTTTCCATAGCATCATACCGTAATCTAATCGTCATAAACAGATCCCACACTCCACACTGCTACCCTTGACTATAGAATCTAGTGATTACTGAAGATTATACTGAAGATTTTCAGTATAATCTTTGCTCAATGGTAACAACTGATGTTTTTCCTTTTGTACTGTATTTTGTTTTGCTAGTATTCTGTGGATAGACAAATTACAAGCTACAAGTCTTTTGTTTACTTTTTCCTTGTTATTTAATTCAGCCAACATGGTTACCTAGCAACCCATAAGACTAATGTTAAAAAAATGTGATTTTCAATTTCATTTTTCTACGTAATTAGATTTTTGATGGCAGTTCTAATTGCAGTAAACTCGTTTTTAGGCCAGAAATAAACTATATACAACATTTGAAGAAAATCGTCGGAGCCGTTTTCGAGATCTTGGTGCAAGCATACATACATACAAGCAAACTTTGCTCGTATTAGAGTATAGGATATATATTTTCTGTACGAACCTATTGCATCTTTATCCCCAGGTTATTTTCTAAGCTAAGCCGTTGAGGTTATTTCACTTCATACAAAATCTATAATATTAAAACGAAACAGTGTTTTTTTATTTCACGATTCTGAATCAACCACTTGACGGATTTTTGTGATTTTTGTGTTGAAAGAAAGATAATTTTGAGAACTAGGGAATGTCGAAGCCATAATTTTAGTTTGGGCTTTCAGTTTTTTAGAAATTAAGTTTTAATTTTTAAAAAGTCTAGCAGCCGACGCTAGCAATTTTAAGTATTTGCAATGCTGGTTTAACTAACAGCTGGTTTATAACTGCCATTGAAATGTTTATGTTACGATTTGTTTGTTTACAAAAATATTGTTCTTTGGTGTTTGCTTAATAGTACTATTTCACTTTAAAATGTAGGTAGTTTTCCCTTACCGTGAAGGATCTGCGTTATCAGGTAATGTGTTATTTTGAACTAAACATCTCAAACACTTGCGTTTAATCAAGTTTTGTCGTAAATGCAATCTGTGTAAGTATTTAGATTATGCATTGCAAATTTCAACTCATATTTGGAAATATTTTTTCAGCAGTTTATCGCTTAATAGTTTAAGATATAAGTGGTTTACGTGTTGATACTTCTTTTTCTGTATGTTTGAATGTGAGTAGGTCTCTATAAAACTGTTAAATAAACTGCAGGGTGCAGCAGAAACCAAAGTCGACTCATACCATACCAACTATCCCCATAGTACTGATGATTCAGAAACTTGGACACTGACCAAAGAACCGAAAAACCTTAATGATGGGTTAGATAATAAAGTGCAGAGAAAATATACAGACCAGTTCAAGATAACGGCCCGGAGGTCGAAATAAAAAAGAACAGAGAGCTAAGAGAAATGTGTTAACACCCAAATATAGGGAAGCTTTCCATAAGTAGGCAAGGCTTGGATGGACAGGCTGTGCATAAACTTAAAAAAATATATATTCCAAGGAGTACCACACGATAGACGGGAAATATCTAGTTATGAAATGCATCCTCAGACTGGGATCTAAAAAATTATCGGATTTAAAATACATATCGCCATATTTTAGGTCTATATTCGAATGGAATAAATAGGTGGTCACGTTGCATTTGTTTATAAGGCGATCTTCCCCATTAAAACTGCCAGAATTTGTGTCTATGCGTGTAAAACTAGATGTTCTGAATTATTCCGTTTTAGTTGACAACTGGATTCCCGTACGTAGGACGGGCCACCAGCTCGAATTGATTAAAGACTACAATATAAATCTCAAATTTAAAATAAAGAAAGTGTAGAATAAATCTAAATCATATGTTTTGAAATAAAAACAAAGCAGAAGTTTCCCATTTAATCTTGAATCGTTAATTATTTAGTCAATGTGGTTATTTCATGTTAAACGTTAAAAAAAACACAAATTTGAAAAGTTTTACAGTAAAATAATTTATTTCCACATTCTATAACGTAACTAAAAAGTCCTAATTATTATAGGTAACGTTATCCATGGTTTTGTATAGTATATTGCAGAATGGACTGGTAAATAAGTAGGCCTAATCCAAATTTAACATTGTGTACTGGCTTGATGATAAACCACGATCAGCTGTATTGAAGTAAACAAAAATCAACAGTAAATGGCTTCTAATGCTATTCTTATGGAGAACATTTTACGTTATATCTCGTTTTCTGGTAACCTTATGGGAATTCTGCTATTTTCCCCGAGTCCCTGGGGTCAAGACCTTTAATTTAAGACTCCTCCCACTTTTCTGCGACTTACCAGACGTCCACAATTTTCTGGTAAAATCTTTGTCTTACAGAATTATATATAAGGACTAGTGGCTTGTAGGGGCAATAGCCCCTATATATATTCTATTAATTATTTTGTACAAATTATTAGTCTCATTGGTCACCCTACCTTGAATTAATAAGGCATTAATAAGGCATTTATTCCGTCATTCAGCACATTACAAATTTACCGTTTACAATTACCGTTTAACATTTTTGTATATTATACCGGTAATATGTTTAATAGTTAACTTATTACATACCTGCATAATGCATTTTTATGACTGCTCTGTTTAAAATTAAAATTCCAAGGGACTGTTCATGCGAGGTGTTTATAATACCTATAAACTTTCTAATCATAATACAACTAAAGAGCATTTTCCATAATAATTGTCATGTCTATTAATTAAATATGTATAAATTTCTTTGAATATAGACAAATTCACTTAGATAAAACACATAGAGATAATGTCATCCTCCAAATTTAAAATGCTAATTCTATAACAAAATCTCTCTGTAAACAAAATTTGTTATATAGTATCCATTTTGGTCGATTCTTTGGTCTTTATTTGGTTCTAGTACTATTTTATCATCATCTGACCGCTTTACCCATCTAAAAGCAACATAAAGTTGACCATGAGTAAACACTGGGGTTTTTGAAATAAATGCCAACTTTTGTGAAGGTTTGGCCTTGCGCTTTATTTATAGTAATAGAGGAAGCTAATCGCAATGGGAATTGAATCATTGTAAACTTAAACGGCATATTAGGATCCGTAGATTGTTTTATTTTTGGCATTACAAATATGTTCCCTTTGCCTACTCCAGTAATTACTTCTAACTTCACACTTTTTTCAGACATACCTAAAAAAACAATCGTATTCCATTAACTAATCCAGACCCTTAAAATTGGGAAAAGTCTATTTTTAGCTTTATAATAGTATACAGTTACTGTATACATATTACTGTACATATTACATCATGGTGGAAGGAAAAAACATAGGTGTGCTATTCCCGTCATTACAATCAGTTATGGACCTTCAGTTATGGATCTTTTGTTTGCAATCCGAGTGACGTCAGAATATGATGGGAATATCACACCTATGTTTTTCCTTCCACCATGATATTACATATTATTATGTTATTATGTTATTATTATGTTATAATATTACATATGTTAGTGTATGTGGCTTTAAATAAAGTTAAACCACATGTTATAAAGTAAACAAAGCAGACATGACCTAGATTCCCATGCTATTTAAATGGGAATTATTTTATTCCGTAACAACCTTTTGGTGCGATATTAAGAAATACCCCCGTCGCAGCAAACCTGACAACTAAGCGAATTTCCATTTGTCTGAATTGATTTTCAATTAAATATATTTAAATGAGTACCTAGGTTTGCTGCTACAAGGAAACTAATAAAGTGTGTTTTTGAGTAAAATATTGATAGCTTAGTACGAATAAATAAATTTGCCAAGTTTGATCAAAATATATTCATAAACAAGCAAACTACAACATTTGACAATATTCTCCATAAGAATAACATGGGAATTTTAAATTTACAATTTTTTTAATTTTCTCCGTTACTAATATTCGAACAAAAATACTTTTATATACTAAATTATTTATTTTTTTAAGCTCTTTAAAAAGGTCTAAAGAGAAATTGGGAAATTTTGTGTTTTGAGGGTCAAAAGTGAGAAAACCCAATTTTTACCCCATAAAACCCCCCGTAAAGCCCCGTTCCCATGGTCCGATCGTGCTGGTTCGCGAACTCATTCAAGTTTATCCCGCTTTACACCTTTAAACCAAATTTCATCAAAATCGGACAAAAATTACTCAAGTTATCGCGTTCACGGACGTATATATATATATAAGTATATATATATATAAGTATATATATATATATATACATATATAAAAATTTGAACAAATAGTGTTTTTGGCCTCTGGGGACATCAAAATGAAAAAGTAAATCGGTCCCGGGTCTAGGTCTTACCGTGCCACCTACGGTAATAGCTACTTCCCTATAGGGAAATTCGCTAAAATGAATAGTTTTCCCTCAAAATTCACGTCAAGACCTTTAAAATAAGACCCCTCCCATCCTTCTACGGCCATCCAGTCACTCACAATTTCTTTACAAAAATATGACTTACGGAATTATATATATATATATATTGATGATGATATAATAAAACATATGTTAGTTCAAAGAAGGTAGTTTTAACAAAAGAAAGAAGGCAGGCATGGATTATTACAGTTTCTCTCCCCCCCCCCCCCCAAGAACTGCGACCTTGGTAAGAGGGCGCCGGAATGTACCTTTGGTTGTTTTTATGTCCACAACTCTTATAACGCCATCTTTACCGGGGTAAATGGCTGATATTTTCCCAAGAGGCCATGAATTTCTTTGATTATCTTCTTCTACTATTATAGCCAAGTCCCCTACTTGAGGCGGTTCTATTCTTTTATGCCACTTGCAACGTCTTGATAAACAGGGCAGGTATTCGTGGACACAACGCTTCCAAAAAACTATCCAAAAGTGATCTTACGCGGGCTAGGCCTAGTTGTTTCTTACATAGTCTATCTTCATCAATATTTATTTTGTAGGCTTCGCGTAGAAAGTGGTTTGGTGTGATCGGCTCAGGGTCCAACGGGTCAATTGATACATGTGTGAGTGGACGCGAGTTTATAATAAACTCCACGAGAGTCAAAAACGTCTGCAGTTCTTCATCTTTCAGGTACTGGGCTCGCATGACACCTTTAAATGCTTTTTTTACTGATCTTATCAGTCTCTCCCAACATCCCCCCATGTGTGGCGCACGGAGAGGAATGAAATTCCATTTAATCCCACTCTTTACGACTGTCCGTTGAATCTGGGCGTTATTTAAAGACCTAACAGCATTTCGAAGTTCATTGTCCGTTCCTACAAAATTCGTACCATTGTCAGAAAACATCTCAGAAGGGCAAGATTTCCGACTTATAAACCTTTGAATAGCCATAACGCAACTCTCCGTACTTAACGAATGAGCAACTTCGAGATGAATTGCACGTGTAGAAAGGCATGTAAATATGACACCGTATCGTTTTTATGTCTTCGGCCAACAGTCACTTCAATTGGGCCGAAATAGTCAACACCAGAGTAAAAGAAAGGATACTGTGCCTTGACTACTCGTGACATTGGCCGGGGTGCCATTTCAGGTGGACTTGGTTTGGCGGTGTCAATCCTACAACGCATACAGCTTCTTTGCACTTCCTTCACTGTTGTGCGAAGATTAAGTATCCAAAACCGTTCTCTTGTCATGTTCATTACGGTTTCTATTCCTTGGTGGAAGCATTTTTCATGGAAGTTCTTCACAATAAGTCTAGCTACATGACATTTTCCATCTAAAATAATTGGGTATCTTCGGTCAGTGCTGATCTCAGAAGAATTTCGTATTCTTGTAGACATCCTGATGAGGTCTTTCTCGTCAACGAAATGATCCAATGTGAATATTTTACTGGACTTCGGTAGTGACTTGCTATTTCTTAATAAGGTCTTTTCTTCTTTAAAACTTTTGTCTTGGGAATTCAACACTAAGATGTGTTCAGCCTTACTGGTACATGACTGAGTTCCCAGACCCCAAAATGGTACGTGGAACTTTTGTTAGTTCCAGTTCCACAACTCAACTCGCAGCGATAGAGAAATAAAATCATTTAATTTGAAACAGTAAAAAACACAAGGGGATTTATAGTCTGTAGTTTAGTCCAGAAATAAGAAGTAGGCCTAGTTAGGGAAACACTAAGCTCAATTTGCTAGGCTACAGAGTTTAAGAAATTGAAACGGTAAAAGTTTAAATTGGGGAAAAACTTGATATAAATGAACTGTTCTTGAAGGTAGGCTGAATGCAAACGTTGGAATAATAATGATAACATGGAGTAGATAGCACCTGGTTTGTAGAGGTGAAGAAGGCCAAAGTTCTCGTAGAATGTTTCTGGGTGAAGTCCTTCCGCTGCGAGTTGGTTGTGGTTAGGCCTGGTTTAGTCCGGGGGCGAAGCCCTCGTCTTGCTCCGAACTAGGTCAGGATCAGGAGGCATGATGTGTCCGCTGCTGTCGGTCCAGTACAGGAGCCCTGGCTTGGTGTCAAAAACAAATTTAAAATTGCATTTTATGAAGGTCGAACAAAATGAACTTGGAAAATCTTCTTTCTTGAGTCTCCATAGTGCCGGTAAAATTTGGAACGTCAATCTAGGTGGACGATTTCAAAGAGAGAGAACGTCTCCAAGCAAATCGGAGAAGAAGGGGAGTAAAGACAAAGTGGACTCGCCCACGGCCTTTGGCGAGCGTCGGCGTACAGAGCTTCTGCCGCAATATGTACTATAAGAAATACTCTCCTTTCTCAAACTGAGCCGACTGACACGGCTCAACCTCCCACCCCAAAGGAGACATCAGGCTCAAAATTTTCAAACAGGTAACAAGTGATAACTGAAGTTTCATAATGTTTTCCAGAATAGGTGAACTGGGGTTATCAGCGCTGATAGATGTTTGTATAGAATAGAGAGAGATGTAGAAAACTTCAGAGAGAACGTAGTCTTGAGGGTGATCAGTCCTAAGACACACTATTCTTATTTACTTTCACTTCCTGAAACAAACATTGCATCCCCGGTGTAGGGCTTTAAATGTGAAATATGAGCCTTCCTAAACTTCTCTTCGGTAGTGGGGTCAACCAGCATAGCAGTAACAGGTGACAAAAATTTAGAAATTCTTAGAGGTCCAGTCCACCTATAGCACAGTTTTCCAGCACGTTTCTCCACTGCTGAACTAAGGGGATGGGCTAAGCAAAAAACAAGTTGTCCAATCTTGAAAGGGTTCTCTTTTCTTCCTTGATTATATCGATCCCGCTGTCTCTCGTGGGCTCGCTTTAAATTCCGTCTAGCGGCTGACCACAGGTTTTTGACATCCGGGGTTGGTATGGAGGGTAACAAATCAGTGATTTTCCAAACATTTGACAAAGGGTTATTTGGTTTGAATCCAAACATGAGTTCAAAAGGTACCGCCTTATGGCCTTCATGGAGAGCAGTGTTGAAAGCTAGTTGTAGCCATCGTAGGTTCTGATCCCAGGTGTCTTGCTGTTCTGCGTGATACGCAATGAGCGCTGACTTCAAATTTCTGTTAAATCTTTCTGCATGAGAGGGCTGGGGGTAATATGGAGAAGTGGTAAAATGGTGTATTCCCTGACCGAAACACATCCTCTTGAATAAATGGGACCTGAACTGAGGTCCGTTGTCGGAAACCAATTTCATAGGATTACCAAAATGTTGAAACAAACGAGTTTGTAGAATTTCTATGGTGAGTCGGGCTGTAGCCTTCCTCATGGGGAATAACCACACAAATTTCGTAAATGCATCGACTGCTACAAGAAGAGTAGTATTTCCAGTCTTGCTACGAGGAAAAGGTCCAACATAGTCGATAAATATCTTTTCCATGGGTCTTTCAGCAACTTCCGAAGCTAGTAGGCCTAGTCTGGTATTCTGCGCAGGCTTACTAAGAGAGCAAAGATTGCAGTTCCTAACCCTGTTAGCGATATCTCGGTCCATACCCTTCCATATATATTCCTGGCGAATCTTGGAAATAGTTTTTAATATTCCAAGATGTCCTCCCACTGGTGATTGGTGGAAATATGAGAAAACCATTGGGATGAGATGGCTTGGCAAAACAACTTTAGGACTTCGATTTCCCCTCTGAGGGCGGCAACAAACAACTCCCTTGGACAATAAATACGGTGGATAAACTTCTCCATTTTCAAGCCTATTTAGGATTTCCACAATTTCTGGATCTTCTTGTTGATGTTTTTGAAGTGCAGTGAAAGCTAAAGGGAAATCAGAGAGTAACATATTGCAGGTAATAGTTGTATTTTGAGAATCACCTTTCTCCTGAATAAACATGCGAGACAAGGCATCAGCCACTACATTTTGCGTTCCTCTAATGTGCTGTACTTTGAATTTGAGTGCGGACAGTTTTACGACCCATCTGCCTATCTTTCCTAATTGACGGGGATGAGCAAGTAACCAAGAAAGTGCTTGATTGTCCGTTTCGAGAAGAAATTCTGAGTGTTCCAAATACCTACGAAATTTATCAACGCCAAAAACAACTCCATAACCTGGCTGACTGGGTTCGGAAGCCTAGAATATTGTGGCGCTATCATGGTTCCAGGGAGTTTGGAAGTAGCCTGCACAGTTTGTGATGATGGCTGCAAATGCGGTGGAGGCTACTCAGGTTTTCGAAGTGGATTGTGAAATTAAGGAGGAGAGAACTAAAGAACCATTGTCACATCTGAGCGATGATAGAAGACAGACACTTTCTTTGTTGTGCGATCAGTACCCAGATGTTCTTACTGGTAAATTGGGTTTAACCAACGTTTTGGAGTACACTATACGATTGACTTCTGATAAAATTGTGCGGTCTCATCCTTACCGTTTTGCCCCACCCAAGATGGAGTTATTGCGACAGAAGGTCGATGAAATGTTACGACAAGGTGTTATTGAGCCATCCTCGTCTGGATACGCTAGTCCAGCGTTCCTTGTTCCTAAACCTGGGGGTAAATCACGCATGGTGATCGACTTTAGAAAGGTGAATGCCTGTATCGAAATTGATTCCGTTCCGTTACCTGATCTACACAGTGCTTTCGACTGGTTCAGTAAAGCTCGATATTTCACCATTTTTGATCTGAACTCGGCCTATCATCAAATTCCACTGGCTAAACAGTCTCGACACATCACCAGTTTCTGTGTACCTTGGAACTTATATCAGTACACTCGAGTACCCATGGGTTTGGCTGTAGGCGCTCAAGCACTTACACGTCTACTTGACATAATCTTTCATGACCTTAAATTTAAATTCCTTTTCAACTATTTAGATGACTTGTTAGTTTATAGTGAAACCTGGGAGGAACATGTACTACATATTGAAGAAGTTTTGAAGAGGTTGCGTAAAGCCGGACTAACTGTTAATCCGGAAAAGGTGCAATTCGCCCGTGAAGAGATATCCTTCTTAGGTCATTTGGTTTCTGCCAAAGGTGTGAGCATTGACCCCGCTCGGACTCAAGGAATTAGAGATTTCCCTAAACCACGAGACGCTAAGGGCATCGCAAGATTTCTTGGAATGGTGGGATTCTACAGAAAATTTATTCCAAATGTTGCAGATTTATCAGTACCTCTGAATTCTTTAAGGAAAAAAGGAGCAAAATTTATTTGGGGCAAGGAGCAGGAATCGTCATTTTGTGCACTTAAGGAAGCTATCATGTCTCCACCAGTGTTAAAGGTACCGGATTTTTCACAACCTTTCATCCTTCAAACTGATGCTTCATCTCAGGCACTCGGTGCCGTACTCCAACAAGAAGTGGATGGCACTAGACAACCAATTGCTTTCGCTTCTAGGACACTAAGCCCTCAAGAGAAGAAGGCGTCTTCGATATATGAATTGGAATGTTTGGCTGTTGTCCTTCCGCTGCGAGTTGGTTGTGGTTAGGCCTGGTTTAGTCCGGGGGCGAAGCCCTCGTCTTGCTCCGAACTAGGTCAGGATCAGGAGGCATGATGTGTCCGCTGCTGTCGGTCCAGTACAGGAGCCCTGGCTTGGTGTCAAAAACAAATTTAAAATTGCATTTTATGAAGGTCGAACAAAATGAACTTGGAAAATCTTCTTTCTTGAGTCTCCATAGTGCCGGTAAAATTTGGAACGTCAATCTAGGTGGACGATTTCAAAGAGAGAGAACGTCTCCAAGCAAATCGGAGAAGAAGGGGAGTAAAGACAAAGTGGACTCGCCCACGGCCTTTGGCGAGCGTCGGCGTACAGAGCTTCTGCCGCAATATGTACTATAAGAAATACTCTCCTTTCTCAAACTGAGCCGACTGACACGGCTCATTACGAATTTCATCTGGTTGAAGTTCCAGTATCAATCTGGGGTTAGAGTTCTTCTTCAGTCTGTCTTTGCCATTTCTTTTGATCCTGGATTGCAATATACCA